CCTTAATTATAATTAGTTTATTTGATTTATTTTATTCTTTAGGAATTTAAGGTCTCTTTCCTTTATTTGTTCTTTTATTTTTTAAAAAACATTTTTATTGATTTCAGAGAGGAAAGAAGAGGGAGAGAGAGATAGAAACCTCAATGGTGAGAATCATTGATTGGCTCTCTCTTGTACACTCCCCTGATGGGAATCAAGCCCGTAACCCAGGCATGTGCCCTGACTGGGAATCAAACTGTAACCTCCTAGTTCATAGGGTGACACGACACTAAGCCACACCGGCAGGGCCTCTTTCCCCCCTCCCCCCCCCCATGCCATCTCTATATTTTATTTCTTATATAATTTTCCAATATTTAATTTAGCATAATTATTGTATACTACTCTGTTTCTTTACTAGTCTAGCATTTCTTTTGTATTGAAGCAATCCATTAAAAGTTTCCATTACAGTTCTTATCTTTTTCTACTTTCTTCTGAAACTATAGATTTTCATGTGGGGTGAAGTAATACAGTAATACTCTCCTTTATTCACATAGTAAGCACTTTTTTTTCCCAGACACTATTTTTCTTTATAAGAAAGAAAAAATGGTCTAATTTAATTACGGACTAAGTTGGTAACCAGCCAACACTCTCACTACTTCATTGGTGACATTTCTAAATAAAGTTAATGACAGTTGTAATTTTTTCAAAAATTACTATTGAGAGGCCAAAAGAGTATTTATGCCTGTGTGCAGAATAGAGAAATATAATGGAGTTTAGAGAAGTCCTTATAAGACTAGTATAATGTCAAATGACTCATAACTTGGGAAGGGAAAAAGCTATTACCCTCTTACCAAAGTTTCTGTTTTTTAAAAATATGTAGTTAGTTCTCCCCAAATTAATCCTGTTAGAGTAATTATAACTAATGAAAACTTCTAGCATTTCCTCTTTCTCAGAGAAAATTAGTTTTTGAAATAGATAAAATACTCTTTGGAATTTACTATACATTTTTAGCTATATCTCTAAATTGCCCAAATACAGCCATGCGTCATCTCTAGTCTTTGAGAAAGCCACTTCAGAAAAGCTTATTCTGTACCCGAGATCTTAAAGATTATTTTTTTTCTTCTAGAATGATATCTTGCTTCACATTTCTCTCTTGTTCTCCCATTACTTATCTCCTCTGTGCTATAACTGTCACATTCTGACAGTGTAATATACAGAGACAGAGCCCTTTGTGTTTTTTTCTTAAATAGAATTTTTTTGTAATTAACTTTAAAACTGAGCTAACTTTAAAATTGAAACCTTATTTTAATTTTTCCATGTTTAAGCAAGGATAGTATGTGCAGTTGTCAAGCATGACTTTTTTCTCTCTAATTTACTGAAGATTCTCAATTATTAAATAAGATAGTTATATTTTCTTGAAGACTTCCAATTGGAACTACAGTCAATATTGAATATTTGAGGCATCATTTTATTCATGGCCCAGTTATTCCCTTAGGTAGTTTTCCTTTCTTATAATAGCTAAGATCACTTCATTCTTTTCACCATTTATTCCTTTTTAACCTGACACCCTGGGAAAATTAGTGAGACTTTGAGAGGGTTTCTTATGAACTCACACTATAATTACTGATTTGTTGTGATATGTATGTGTGACATATTTTTTCTCTATTGGCTTAGAGCTGTTTCTTTTTAATTTTTTCTACTCCTGGCATTCATTATATTAATATTTAAAATTATTATATCTGTATTTAACAACAAATTATTCTTTTCTATTTTTTTATTTTTCTAGATGTCTTTGGTTTGTTTTAGAAATATTAATGGCTAAAAATGAAAATAACAGTCATGCATTTATCAGAAAGATGGTAGAAAATATTAAACAAACAAAAGATGCCCAAGGACCAGATGATGCAAAAATGAATGAAGTATGTAATTCTTTGTAAATAATTACGATTCCTTATCTATTTAAGCATTTGAGTATAGAGTATGGAACTCCTGTAGTATTTCGTACACCATGTCAGTCTTTTCTATTAGTAGTAAATAATCAGTAGTATTTCGATTAGTAATAATTAGATGTACTAATATAGTCACTAATATAAAATTAATAGTAATATTATTACTAGTAAACTAATGAAAACAATAGTGTATTTTAAACTTACACTGTTGCATTAAAAACTGCATATTAAGTACATATTCTAGAATTACTTCCAATTTAGACTTTAGGATGCCAATCTAAGTACCTAATTCTTTTAATACCATTGCAGAAACTGTATACTGTGTGTGATGTTGCCATGAATATCATCATGTCGAAGAGCACCACATACAGTTTGGAATCTCCTAAAGACCCAGTACTACCAGCTCGGTTTTTCACTCAACCTGACAAGGTAGTCATTTTAGAATTTGTTTGTGTAAGTTGAAGTAAAAGGTATTCTCAGTACTTGGTTGTGGGGAGATCAAGAAGGAGCAGAATCAAGAGCTGACCCACTACTAATGTTATGGAAAGATCTTAATAATGTGGTTTAAGACCAGAATACGGACCAAACCAGAGGGCACAAATAAGGTTCAGAGATTGTTAGTAGGATCCAGAGTTTGTGTTCAAAATTTTATGCTACTCTGAGAGCACAACAAAAATGTGATCAAAGCATGTAGATCTATGAGTTAATGGCCATTGATCCAAATGGGGAGGAGAATGGTGATAGAGATACAGTCTGAAGTTAGAGCTCTTGATTGAGATCTGCAACTATAGTAAAACCTCGATATAACAGACTAATTTCGACAAGGGGGTGTCCATTAAACCCAAAATTCAGTTATATAATAAAGTAGGTTTTCTGAATGCATGTTAAAAATTGACAAATTAGTTTACCTGTTTTTACTTATGTAGACAGATTTGTGCAATTAAAATTACATATGAAAAGTTTAATTTCATAGAAAATTTTTCTATATGTATTACTCTAATTTTAAATTTATACTGTATAGGTCTAGTAAATGCGTGAATTCACCAGCCACAGTGAGTAAACGGCTCGGTGTGGTTTAGCTCACATCAGAATGTTGGCTGGCCTGTGTTAAAACTGCTGCAGAAAGTCACGCCACTCAACAACAGAACCAGTTACCGTGTGCTATGTGGTGTGATCACGTGCTAATCATTCCCGAATATTGTTTGCCTCCAGTGACTCTTGGATTTAAATCTGTAGACTGTAGTTGTAGATAAATAATATTTATTTATGTCAACAAAATTATTACAGTATTTTTTCCAACTTTAAGATTTTTTGAAAATAGCAGTTAATTAATAACAAAAATAACCTGTTAATTTAATTATAAGCAAGTCTTGATTAAAAGCATTTTAAAATTAACAGAGTGTTAATTTTCACAAAGGACATACGGACTGGAAATTTTGTCAGTTAAATCCGAAGTTTGTTAAATCAAGGTCCGCAGAATCTAGGATTTACTTTAGTATGAGGAAACAAATGGAGAAAGACACTGGAATAGACCCAAGATCTTTGGAATGCTACAAGAATGTTCCCACTGTCATAAAACTCAAGTATTGTATGAGATATAAAAGGTGTTTTCAAGAATCTCTCTTTGACTTTTGAGTAACTGAAAGTATAGAAACCAGCAATGTCTCTTTTTTTTTTAATCAAAATACCAATTAAAGTCTTAATATAGTATATAGGAATTTAGAATGGCCTTGTAGTTTCACCAAAAGCTGAAAGTGATTATTGTCTGCTTTGAAGCATTCACTTTGGTGTGATTAAGATATGAGGAGTCTGTGTATGAACTTTTTATGTATTTCAAAACAGAAGCTGCTGTTGGCTTTTCTTAGCTTTTGACCTTCACAGGTACAGTGTTTTAGTATTCACTAACTACATCTTTTTCCCTTGCTTGTAGAACTTCAGTAACACCAAAAATTATCTGCCTCCAGAAATGAAATCGTTTTTCACTCCTGGAAAAGTATGTTTTGAGAATTGTTTCAATTCTTATGTGGTAGTTTATTTTAGTTTCATTAGTGGTATAATTATGTTATTTTGTATTTCTTTAAACATTGGTATATTTTAAGTAAGAAATTTTAATTATTAGGTATCTTCCATTTGCTAGTAAGAAATAGTTACATTAACTATATAGATGTAAGCTAAGATACATGAACTTACTTTTTAGCTTTATAATAAAGTCCTTGGAGACTTTGATCTTTAAATATCTATCCTATAATATCAAGATAAGAATCTTAAAGTGAAAAAGCATCTTCTGTCCTTCCACAGCAAGAGTCTAATAATCTGTTCTCATTGTTATACATTTGATTTGTTCTCACTTCTATGTAAGCTTTGAAATAACTAAGAAACTTGACTATTCTGCTACCTATAGTTTTTTATTTGTTCAAATGATATCCAATTTATTCTTACATAATAGGCACATTTTTTCATGATTTGTATATAAATACTTTGACAGAGATGTTATTTATGGTCCTTTAAATTTCTTTTGGCTTTAATCTAATAGAGATAATGCATTTTTCATTTCAGCCTAAAGCAACCAATGTTCTAGGAGCTGTTAATAAGCCGCTTGCATCAGCAGGCAAACAATCTCAGACAAAATCTTCACGAATGGAAACTGTGAGCAATTCAAGCAGCAGCTCAAACCCAAGCTCTCCTGGAAGAATAAAAGGGAGGTAAGTACATAAGAAATACCTACTTTATATTTAAGGATTCCAACAAAGCTATGAGATCTAAAATAATGTAACCCAAAACATTTAATGTCAGTGAGTGGAAAGGAAATCAATGCATACCATTTAACATTGGTAGTCAAGCTCTCCATCTTAGCCTTTCATATTCTAGCTTTTGGGGTAATCCAATTGTCTAGCAATTGTAAAACTGTTAAATAACAATGCGTCCATTCAGTCGAATACACAGTCATTAAAAATGATGAAGTAGGAGATAATATCAAGAGTTTCGACAATACATTATTACAGGGGTCCTCAAACTTTTTAAACAGGGGGCCAGTTCACTGTCCCTCAGACCATTGGAGGGCTGGACTATAGTTTTAAAAAAAACTATGAACAAATTCCTATGCACACTGCATATCTTATTTTGAAGTAAAAAAACAAAATGGAAACAAATACAATATTTGTATTTGCATGTAATCCACGGGCCGTAGTTTGAGGACCCCTGCATTATTGAGTGAAAAGACAATAAGAACAGTGTTACGTATTTTTGAGTTTTATTTTTTTTATTTTTTTTAATATATTATTGATTTTTTTTACAGAGAGGAAGGGAGAGAGATAGAGAGCTAGAAACATCAATGAGAGAGAGACATCAATCAGCTGCCTCCTGCATATCTCCGAGAGAGAAACATCGATCAGCTGCCTCCTGCACACCCCCTACTGGGGATGTGCCTGCAACCAAGGTACATGCCCTTTACCGGAATCGAACCTGGGACCCTTGAGTCCGTAGGCCAACGCTCTATCCACTGAGCCAAACCGGTTAGGGCTATTTTTGAGTTTTAAAAAGGAATTGCATTTACATTTGCTTACATATGCATAGAAAGTTTTTTAAAAGAATACATCACATTTTAATAGTGTTGATGTAATCTAGTGTAGGCAGAGAGATCATCTTATATTCTTTGGTATGATTTGAATTTATTTTTAGTATGTGCATGTATAAACTTTTTGTTTGAAGAAAGCGAAAAGGAAACACATTTTACACTTTCTCTAGTTCTAGCATAGTGCTTAGTACATCCTTAGTTGGCAGCAGAGCCTTATACGGGGCTAAACTGCCACTGTTTATTGATTTTGCTAAGTTATTGTGGAAGACTTTATGCTGTCTTTTGCATTGTTCATAACCAATTAGTAGAGGAAGGAGGAGACATTCTGAAGTATCTTACCAATTCCCTTACAATGAATGTTTAAATGTTATACAGTCAAACCTCGGTTCTGGAACATCTCCCATCTCAAACAATTTGGTTCTTGACCAAGTTGTTCACAGAAAAGAATGTCTTGCTTGTCCAACCAAACTTTGGTTTTCAACCTGACAACCCTTTCATGCTGATACCTCAGTGGGAGGAAAAGTGTCTCTCAGGCAACAAAGGAGAGAATGCTTCTGTTGCTGGTGAAATCAACAATTAGCACAATTTTAAAAACATAGAGGCCATAAGGAGTGCTAATGTTGCTAAGGGCGTGAAAGAAGCAGTGATCACAGGCAATTGTAGAAGTAGAACTGAAGTTGATTTGGATAAAGGAAAAGTAGTTAGCAAGAGACAGCATTCTGAGACAAGCAAAAATGCTGCATACTGACCTGAAAGACACCCCTGGAATGAGTGCTAAAAGTGATTTTTTTTAAGGCTAGTGGGGGGTGGTTCTATAAATTAAGAAAAGAAGTGTGTGTTTACAGATTAAACAGTATGTTAGACATGTGCTGAATATAGGAAAGGTTAAAACAGGGAATCATTTGGTGGTCTGGAACAGAGTAATTCAACTTACATTATTTTTAATGGGGAAAAAATTCTGTTTTCGAACAAATCACTTCTTGAATAGCTTTACAGAACAAATTAAGATCGAGAACCGAGGTTCCACTGTGTAGTACAGTAGAAGTAGAACAGAATTAATATCTATAGCTCTTATTTGTTCAAGATTTCTATATTAATGTATATTAGTGGCTTATACCTAAGTGACTCTTCACACATATCATTTGAACATTTACTAGTGAATATCCTCATACTTAAAATGACCAAAACATTTTCAGCAACTAATTTCTAAATTATTGGGGTTTTTTCCTTGAATTTCTGGTTATAATCATATGTGATCGAACTCTGTCTAGTCATCTAGACTGAGAGCATCAAAACTGTCTTTGACTCTCCCCCGCTAAGTTTT